TGTATTTATGGGTTTAACCTGTATTATTTGTTATAAATAAAATTTATTTTTTATTCTCCAATAGGCTAATAGCTTAAAATCATTAGAATGTAAGGTATCATAAAGAATGTAAATTCTCATTCCCTAATATCACTTGTATAAATGAAGTAATTGAATGAATAACTCAAGCCCAATGGGCTAAAGTGGTACTTTGCCCTAAACCCTAGAATCATATGACAAAATTGTGTATTTAAAGAGTATCGGCTATACTCTTTTAATATATTTGAACATTTCAAAGGTATGGACGTCAGAGATTCTTCTGGTTTCGATGAGAACAACGTTGAAATATCAAAGCTTGCGTCTCATATTAGCAAATTTATATGCGAGAGGGTTCTGAATTTCTTGAATTTCTTCGTGGTATGGACAATTTTTTTCTTCTTGTTGATGGATACTCATTTCATGTGCATGTGGAGGAGACGTGGGATGAAATGCTCAATGATTTGGGCGATGCGTTCAATGATTTGGGCGACGAGGAATGAAGAACTATTTAATTGTATTAAGCGATATCTCATCTTTTATTATATTTACAACATTGAAGAGCAATTATGTGTGTTGAGTGTGGAGTGGTGTGGTGTTCATCTTGTGTTTTTGGACACTGTACTCTAATGAGGGCTTGTTATAAGTTCCTATCTTGATTTCATTATAAAATGTGTGCTTAATTTGGAAAATGGGCATTCTAAATTCCTTCGCTACATTTTGTGTAATATCACATGTGCTCGCGATTGTTCTTCAGCCTTGCCTCTGCCTCTGTTTCTATCTTAACCTTCCCTAACCACCAAAGGTTTTCCTAGCTAAATTTCATTGAGGTTCGAGAAAAGTTTCTTGGTGAAAGAATGTTGGTTGCAACAGCTTAACAACATGCACAACCAGTAGACAAATGAAGTAATATCTTATATTTATGAAGTAATATGTTATATTTAAGAATGAGATGCTACTTCTCATCTAACACATGTTGTTTGAATTCTCATTTTGAATAGTTCATATATCAATGTCATATGACCTCTGATACCTTCAATAAATTTCAAAACAGAGCTGCAAACTTCTCTTCGTTGTCTCGTTAAACTATTTTGTATCCAATTTTTCTTCTAGAAAGTAAATTGCTATACAAGCAATTTTATACTATGAAATTCAACCTCATTTGATCCACAAAATGTTGAGGGATTTTGTTGTTGTTGTTGTATTTATGAGTTTAACTTGTATTATTTGTTATAAATAAAATTCATTTTTTATTCTTGCCCAATGGACTAATAGCTGAAAATTATTAGAATGGGAGGTATCAGAAAGTATTTAAATTCTCATTCCCTAATATCGCATGTAGTATAAATAAAATAATTGAAGAAATAACTCTAGCCCCGCATGGCTTGACTTTCTAAATACATTTGGATATTTTAAAAGTATAGCCGTCCGGCTATACTATTCAGATATTAATATATTCGAATAGTTTAAGGGTATAGCCGATGCATGGCTTGACTTTCTAAATACATTTGGATATTTTAAAGGTATAGCCGTTCGGCTATACTATTGAGATATTAATATATTCGAATAGTTTAAGGGTATAGCCGTACGGCTATACTCTACCCACCCCGCCTAGGAGGCCCGCCCAGCCGCCTAGCGCCTGCCTAGCCGCCCAGCAGCCTAGCGCCCGCCTAGCCGCCTAGCCGTCCGCCTAGGCCCATTTTTTGAACACTGCGATTGACTGGAAGTTTGAAACCCGAAATTGAAAAAGTTTACCTGCAAATTTGAGCTTGAGATTGAGATTTGGAAGCCAAAGCAAGCACAAGTCATGGGAACCCTAAATACAAAATTTGCTGACTTGGTGTCTGTCTTCGGTGGAAGGAAATGATGAAGCTATCCTAACATGGAGTTTCTATGGTCTTGCCAATAACAAGGTTCGGTTTTTGGGCCCCAATGTCAAATTCTGACTATTTATTTCTGGTTTGGTTAAGCAGTAGATCGATTGGTTTGGTTCTTCTTGCTTGAAACTTGATAAATCTTTATGCATTCAATATTCATCCATTGATGGTTCTTCTTGGTTGGACTGCTTTTCATTCTTTGGATATTGCATTTCTGTTATAGACTTTGACATTTGATCATGCCTTCTTGTTTGCCGACAGAAAAAAAGAAAAAGAAAGATATGTCTCTTCCTCCTCTTGCATAGGAACACAAAACCAAACCACGAAGAACAGAAAAAAATAAAAAAAATAAAAAATAAAAAATTACACCACCTTAGTCCTGACCCAAATGACATGTGGAAACTGTCAAGCTAACTGTAGGGAGAACTGTATTTGATTTTACCTTAAAGACTGATCTGAAACCACCTTCTCCAAGTTTATTGTAGTTTGAAAAGTTTTTGGTTGCACAAACAACAGCGGCCAAGTCAAATAATGGTAATTCCAGATCTTCCTTTTGGCCGGGCTTCAGTTCTCCTGTGAAGTACGTAGTGAAGTAAATAATGTAGCATGGAACCTTAGCTTAGAAACCAGAGAGGCAACAGCAAACATTTTCTATAGAACTGAACCTACCTATCTTAGAAGATGGAGGGGCAGAAGAGTAGAAAATCAAATAGCTTACCATATATTTGTTGCTGGTTCTTCCTCACATATAATAGCAGGGTTAGGCCCATGATCAGCAGTCCAGTAGACAACACAGTACTGGTTACTATAATCTTTGTATCGTGTCCTCGATCTAGGACTAGGAATGAAGTATTTGAAAGCGTGGCCATGTTCCCAACAATTCACTCTCTCTTTTATGTACACAAATCTATTGAGGATTTGGGTCTAAGGGTATTCTGATAATTTGTTTTCCTCTGTGTGCAGTCTCGCAAACGTTGATCCTATTGATGTTGCCAGAAATATTGCAGGGTTAAATCCAGAAACTACCCTCGGTAAGCATTAAGTTTATTTATATCACTAAATATTGACTCCTGTAATCTAAGCTCTATGTTGGGTTTCTTATCGTTCATTCATATTCTTTCGATATTTGCAGTTGTGGTAGTTTTTTGAAGACCTTTACAACAGCAATACCTTTAAATATATTATTTAAGGAGTACCGCCGATTGGCTATACCTTTAAAATATATTATTTAACGAGTACCGCCGAGCGGCCATACCGTTTAAATATATTATTTCAGGAGTATAGCCGACCGGCTATACTATTTATAAAATAAAATAATAAGGACCTTTTTGGATATTTTAAACGTATAGCCGGTCGGCTATACTCTTTAAATATTAATATATTCGAATATTTTAAGGGTATAGCCGATCGGCTATACTCTTTGAATATATTTGAAACAAACACGAAGCTTGCACTCGCATAGGACGGAGCTTGCAGACGCAGTCAAGTTTCGGCTGCTTCGTCCTCCTTGTTCGGCACCGAAAAATGACCCAACGCGCCTAGGAGGCCCGCCCAGCTGCCTAGTGCCCGCCCAGCCGCCTAGCGCCCGCCTAGCCCCATTTTTTGAACATTGCGATTGACTGGAAGTCTGAAACCCGAAATTGAAAAAGTTGACCTGCAAATTTGAGCTTGAGATTGAGATTGAAGACATCAAATCAGGTTGACAGGAAAAAAGTGAGAGAGAAGAAATTTTTTGATGAATTAAACTTAGTTTACCTAGACTGCAAAATTGTGTTTTTTTTTTTTTTTTTATCATTGATCAATTTTCTCCGATATGAGCAGTCGAGTCAGTGCAAAACTATGAGGGACAGCAGCGTAAGTTATGCATTTGCGGCAGCAAAGGTAGATGCTTGAAGATGTATTCTCTTTTGAGACATCCAGCAATTTAATTCTCGTCAAATTCACTGTAATATGTTTTTTTTTGGTCTGAAAACAAAATATGAGAACATTCTCATCAAATATAGAACCATCAGGACTCTGTCGGATACGATTAACG